GGGAGGAGAGGGAGAAAAACACACTTCCTCCGAAAAACGTTTTGTGGATGAGGCCAATTAAGTGTAACTCAAGTTCGCTCCAGACATCAACAAAATAACTTGCAAGAGCATGTTTTCCCTGTGAATGAATTCCACAAGATAGGAGCCATCTTGTGACCGCATATGCTTGCAAGCTTAGTACCATCCTCACACACACACACACACACACACACACCATATCCAAAACTCTTGTCAACCCCCCCTTTTCCTTTGCTCCTCTGGAAAAAAAAAAAAAGTTTTAAGAAGGGCAGCTTGGTGAAATTACAACCCGGAGTCCCGGCTGCGTTGCTCGGGCTGCCGCTTGTCATTCCCCCCCTCTGGTTAAAAAAAAAACGAGACTTTACACGTACTTGAACGATCTCCCCCTCCGCGCTGATAGTGGCTCCTGCTTTGGAGAAGCGTCCCTGCAAGCCAGTCGTGTAAGTAGTATAATCTCCATTGGGACTGGACTCGAACAGTACCACCTCCACAAAGGCTGTATCCTTGGCGAGAACGGTTCCAAGAAGAGACGCGGCGACCACCACCAAGAACACCGGGACCACCGAGTCGGGCACACGATCTGAGCCTCTCCTTGGTAAAATCATCATCTTGCCGGCTGGATCTGCGCCGATCGGGACATAATTTCACACGGATCAATTGATCGGGTGGAAGGTAAATTTGGGGATCAGGTCTGTGCGCGCTGCGGTGCGATGCGTCAAAAAAAAAAAAAAAGAGTCAGAATTGAGCAATAAAAAAAAAAGCTGCGCCTGGACTGAAGCGTGTTTATTTCACCACTGCGAGCCTTGTCAATTACATTGCCTGCAAACGCTGCCTCTCTCTCCCTCTCTCTGGCTTTCTCCCTCCCTCCCTCTCTCTCCCTCTTTCTTTCTCACCCTCCTCCTCCTCCTCCTCTACAAAGCGGATCTCCTTTGATCTCCAAACACGTGATTTTTTTTCTTTTTTTTTTAGTTTTTTTTTTTTTCCTCTCTCTCCCAAAAGGGTTATATCCCCACCCACCACTCTTTCTGACCCTCTCCTTTGCACTCCCCACTCTCAAGTGCCAGCACTCAGTTAAGGAGGCACCGCGGACTCCAGCGCGCACCGAAAAGTGGGACGCGCTGTTTGGAAAATCCTAAAGTTACGCACGAGTTTTCGACCGAATTCGGTTTCTCGAGGCGAACGAGAAGCAGATCCCGCGTGTTCGCTCCCGGTTGGGATCCCAGGCAGCCTAGTGGCAGCTTTTCCCCCAGAGTTTGACACGTTTTCAGCCGCCGTGCCACCTTAAAACAAATACTACCCTCTTCAGGACGCTTCAGGATTGAACCGGGCTAATTTCTCAATCTCATTCAAGATTTGCTCACCTACAGGCCGGGAGAGGTTTCTCAGTTTGAGTGACACATAAAAAAGTGTTTTTTTTGTTTGTTTGGTTTTTTTTTAAATTGCATTTTATTGACACAAAATTCAAGAATTATAACAAAACAAGTATTTAATCAACTTAGACAATATTCCCAGTAGAACCAGTAAGATAAGCAGGCTGTATGATGATGATACATTCACAATTATTTCATCTGGATTAAACCAGCAGTTATCATTAACCAACACATGTCAGACAACCTATCTGCCAGGTGACAAATTAAAGGAAAAATACTCACCTATTTGTCTTCAGTGAGGGGATCTGGTGGCTCTCTTACGCCGCCGGGGACGTTTTTGCTGATATGTTTTAGCTCCACTTGTCCCTTTTAACGGAAAAGTCGCTGCAAGTCAATACAAAGAGACAAATCGCCTTTCCCCTGTGATGACACATTTTTATCCCAATGAATGTGATGCAAATGCATCCAGTAGCGTTGCAGAAATTGGGAGAATCAAACCAAAGGTGCACAGACTGACTCCAATGTACGCCCAGCAAGAGCTGGAACAACATGGTCAGTTCACCATCCATCCATTATCTGGACAGGTCGCCAGTCTATCACACTTAGAGACAGACAACCAAGCACACTCACATTCACACCTACGGACAATTTAGAATCACCAATTGACCTCAACAACCCGGAGAGAACCCACGCTGCACGGGGAGAACATGCAAACTCCATGCAGAAAGATCCCCATGCCCCCACCGGGACGCAAACCGGCGACCTTCTTACTGCGAGGCAACAGTGCTACCAACTGCACCGCCTTGCAGCCCGTCAGTTCAACATTTAAGTCAAATGACCAGATATGTCCCATTATTCCAGCTCTGCATTTGAGATCAAGAGGTTGTCATTTGGTGCCTTTGGAGTACTTTCGGTGGCATTTTGGACGGAAAGAACAGTTTGTTTTGACTGTCAATAAAACAGACTTTTCACCAACATGATGTTTGGACCTTTGGAAACTGTGACAGCATTTTCAGACAAAGTTATTACCGAAAGCAATGTCAGATCAGTTTATCTGTAGAAACCGTAGATTCACTCAACGTGGATGTAATTTTTAGATGAATTTGTCTTGAATACTGTTTTTATCTGAGGTGATACAATTATATTAATGTTTATATGAAAATAAAACCTCCTATATTTATGTTGGTGGCAGTAACACCTCAGCGAGACACTTTACATTGACTGACTATCACAGAGCTTGAGTCATCTGTTGGCTTTTCCTTTAATCTGTCACTCATGTGTATGTACTCAAGGCAGAGTCATTATTTTTGCTATAAGTCAGTTATCGAAAGAAACGTGACTAAAAACCAGCATCCTTTAGGGTGAGAGTTTAGTGTTCATCCAGTGGTGCTGCGATATTGTCATTCTGGACAAAAGTGGTGGACGGACTGTACTCAGAACTCACCATCCCTACATGAGGACGGCGTTGGATTAAGAATTTATTTTGCAGTTGTATATTCTCCGTTAAAGATTCGTACACTTACAATGTTTTTTTCTGTGAATCTCCTTCTCAGCAGTGTCACATTAGTAAGAGATGCTTCTGATTCCGGTTATCATGTGGTCAAATATGAACAGGTTGACGAGTCGATATAGAAATAGGTCAAAGCAGACCAAAGCTAGTTAGCAACATGAGCAGATAAGACCATCTATCTCCTGCTTTTCTTTCAGCCTCCTCCATTCCCAAGCTGTTGTGCTGCTCCGGAGTTAAAGGCAGTTTCACCAACACTCACAGAATTGTGCACACAGTCTTTAGACAGATGGATATCCAATTAACTGCTGCCTTTGATCTTCAGAGCAGTTGTCGTCATCAAGCCAAGGCCCGACAAGCTAATCATAGATCATTTCAGGCATTTTACAAACCTCTAAACGCTTAAATGTAATTTGACATAATTTCTATCTGCAGAAACTCAAATTAGCGGCTGGATGGAAAAGTTATAATCGCCGGAGCGGGTTCATGATTCATCGCGCGTTTATCGATAAAGACGAGTTTCATCATCTGCTCTTTAAAAGATGCAACTGTCATTTTTACGCAAACTTTTGTTTGTCGTCATTTACTGCAGGGGTATTATTTTTCAATCGCTCTCTGTTCACAATAAAGAGTCGATTGTGACGCTGTCATGGTGACCGGTTCCTGGAGAACGTCTTCTGCCTGGTGCCTTTTCTCTCAGCGAGTGTGAGACTTCATTATGTGTCAGAAAATAAGCGCACTGTGTCTTGAAAGGACACTGAAAGAATAGATCATAAACATGCACTTTTTTCATTCCTGCAAGGAAAGAAGAAAAAAAAAAAAACTTTGTGCAGCTGAAAAGATCTCAAAGTACCATGCGAGCAGTGATGATACTGTAGGTGTATTGTTCTGTCTTCAGTGTGATGAAATGCACAGTGCAGTCTCTCATTTTAATCACAAAGGACCTTCTTTTTTTTCTCTCTCTTCAAAATATTACACAACAAAAAATGCACCAAACTGAGTGATTCCACTTTGCAGAGTCCTGTCAACACTCATTCCACCACACTGGCCTCTTGTAAAGAAAACTCCCAAAGGAAGGCTGAGCTCTGCGCAGTGATTAGTGTCCAAAAAAGCCCAGAAAACAAGGTTTCATCTTGCTGTCAGCTGTGTGGCAGCGTGATTATGAAAACCAACTGTGAGGACTTTTTAGGTCAAGAATGCAGCCGACTCTGGAAGCGTGATGGTCAACATGTGTTTGGACTCAGAAGAAGAAGAAGAAGAAGGGAAAAAAGGGGGTGGAAAACAATTCAAAGCTGAAACCTAAGAAGTTCTTCAGCGCCTCCAGCATGACAATAATTTACAGATCGCATTAGACGTCAGTCCGTTTTATGAATCCTGATCCACACCACATGTCTCCCACAACTGCCTTGTGACGCTCGTCTCTTCCCCTCACACACAACCGTGAAATGCAGACACATTCGGGATGGATAAATAAATAAATGACGGGACTTTGAGGGGACAATGCCTGCAGGCGTAGTGACGAAATTAAATTAGATTTACATAATCAGCTTACTAATGGACCACAGAATACATTAGGACAACAAGTTACAGTGATCCAATTACTCATTGAGGAGACTTATTCCTCTTTTATTGCAAGTCTGCCCTCTGCTGGTCGCTGCGTGTTTTCAACCCACAGAAACTTTTTAATTCCTGACTTTCTTACCAACTTATTAAAGAAAATTCTCGCAACTGTTTGGTCACTTTTCGACCCTTTAAAGTTGTGAAATCTTTTTTCACGCCCGTTTTCTCTCGCTTCCATCCTAACAAATTGTCAGGTTTTCCTTCCCCGGCAGCTGTGGATCCTCTCCTGACGCTCCACTCTCTCCACAGCAGTGTCTAAACTCAGGCCACCCTGAGAAGAATCAGCTGTCTGCTTGTTTAGGCTGAGAGAGTGCTGTGGATGAGAATGGCTTTGAGGGATGATAGTTGGCTCAGCTCTGCGCATTACTGTGCCATCTCTCCCAACAGGCTGTTTTCTTTTCCTATCTGAGCTTAAGTAGGATTCACTGGCTGATTTAAGATGTTTCGTGTGATATTACAAAGCTGCGCTGCTCTTTTCCTCTGTTCTCTTCTAGTCAAACACTCTTTTTTTTTTTTCCAGCCCCCTCTCATCTGACTCTGTAATGTAAACCTAGCGAAAGCTGGAACGACTACTTTGATGATCGATTAACCATTCGGGTCAAAACGCCAGATAGTTCCACCCCTGGATCGGGAGAATTTGGTGCTTTTGGACTATTCTGATGGCATTTTAGACCGTGTGTCCAACAAAACAAGATATTTACCAACATCACTTTGGGCTTCTGGAAATGGCGACGGCATTTTTGGACAAAATTATTTCACTATATGTCATAAAAACAACACCAATGAATGATTCTATCCATCCATTTTCTATACACCGCTTAATCCTCACTAGGGTCATGGGGGGCTGGAGTCTATCCCAGCCGACTCAGGGTGAAGGCAGGTTCACCTGGACAGGTAACCAGTCTATCACAGGGCTACACTTAGAGACAGACAACCAAGCACACTCACATTCACACCTACGGACAATTTAGAATCACCAATTAACCTCAACATGTTTTTGGACTGTGTGGGAGGAAGCCGGAGAACCCGGAGAGAACCCACGCTGCACGGGGAGAACATGGAGACTCCATGCAGAAAGATTCTGGGACGCGAACCGGCGACCTTCTTGCTGCGAGGCAACAGTGCTACCAACTGCACCACCCTGCAGCCCTGAATGATTCTAGTGATATTTAATTGCAACTCTAGACCTAGCTAACTGTAGATTCAACTCAACATGGATGGAATTTTTAGATGAATTTATCTTGGCCAATATAATTATATCAGTGCCTATATGTGAATAAAACTTTATTATTATTTATTTATGTTTGCTAAATTTTCAGCTGGACATCAAAATG